TGATCCAAGGTGGCTGAGACTGGCTGAGACTGCGTACATCCGTAAGCAACTGTGGTCGAGCTAATGAGATGTAGGCTGATAAGCTTGTAAATCAGGTTACGAAACCACCTGTCCTAACTTCTTAGTCAAGAGTCATTAGGGTTCAACAGCCCAATGAAAGGCCTGGCTGGGGCTGCCTAATTTCATACATCCTGTTTGGTTGATGAGCTTAATCTAACATATTGGACGGGTATGAGTGAAATTAAAACTATCACTCGGCGGACAAATTGAATCGCCTTTTTTCGTATGGCGGCTCAGCACCCTCTCTCTCCTTCAACCTTTCAATCAAACATAAATAATCCTGGAGGGTTCTTATGAACGCCGCTCAAAAGGGCACACCACACTACATCTAAACAAGCACGGTAGAAATTGTAACAGTGAAGATGTGATACAATGATATAAAAGAGGTGAATAGTCCAGGACAGGAGAGATACCACAACTGTTTAGCACACGTTTGGTCAAAGGATCGGCTTCACTTGTTTCTTTGACGAGTTGTTGTGTGGTACTAAGAATGGCGAGACTCACTGACGATGCCGGCCAAACGTCTGTGAATGTACCATGTCCACGGTCCTACTCTGGAAATTATCATGCATACAATGGACTCTAAGTCTTCCTACCAATATGATCAAGTTGCGAAAATAAGGTCAAACAACCTCTATACAAAGAAAGTAAACTGCGACCACACAAAAGACCACACCTTCTTGGTTTTCATACCTTTGAATAAATAATCCTGACTAAACTTTATCTCACCGTCCCTTACATTCTACTTATTCCCTAATCTATTAATTTCAATAGCCTCTCCTATGTTACTTTTAACAGCAGACACATCACAATTAGCAAGCCTACTCGTTTCAGACCATTCTATCTTATGTCCAGTTCCTGCCATGTGTTCGGCCACTTCTGACTGTTGTACCCAGCTCCCTTTACAAGTATTTTTTGTGTTTCCTTAATCTTTATCGAATAGACCGGCATATCTAACAAACAAGGTTGACCAGCTGGATCTGAACAATAGGTCTTTTGGTGAGATTAGCCTACAAATTTCTTCATCATGAACTTTTATACGAAATGAAAGTCTCCCCAACTATGTTACCTTGGGAGATTCATCGAAACGCAGTTACTCTTCATATTTATGATTCCTCATTTCTATACCTCTAGTTGGATCCATCTCGGCAACTTTTTAAGGCTCTTTCTTGATAGATTCCAAGCATTGCAATCTCCCCTCAAGATCGACCTTCGAATCTCTTCTTCATACACTTTCAAACGAAATGAAAGTCCAAGCAATGTTTTAATTAAGTTTGCCTAAGCAGTAAGCGAAATTGTCACTGACCCGTTCCTTTTCCACTTCATTTTAATTAGTCATTTTTAAACAAGGCTATTCACGACCTCCCTTTTCTTGCGTTGTCCTGTATTTTCACTGTATTCGGCTAGTATTTCAGTTGTTTGGGTGTCGCGGCCGATCAGTTCAGTACGTTATGCTTTTTCCTATCCTTTCGTATACATTATTTTGCTTATTCGCTGATACTCTTTAATCCTCATGTTGACTGTTCTCCCTGTCTCTTTATTTCGACTTTGTTTACAATTGTTGCAAGTGTTACAGTAAACTCCAAGGCAATCCATTTTGTTGGCTTTTTTTATTCTTGTAAAGAATGTCATTCTTTCTTTTAGTACTGTACGAATCTTCATTTAATCCGCACTGGCTGCAGCTTCCTAGCCAGTTCACATGAGGGTATACATATAAATTTTAGTTCTTATTTTTCCCCCTTGTCATTTGCCCATAATTCACACACTTTTTATACAAAGTACATCCATTTCCGAGAAAAAAAAATCAGAATTTATTCCTCCGATTCTTCCTCCTAGAATTCTGCTTCTTGACTTGTACTTTTTATGACAATATTTTTAACTCTTCCGATCTTCATTCTGTATTATAGCGAAATCGAAAATTGAGGATTATTATGGTGAAGGATTTTTTTTTAGTAATCGTCTTTTGAAGTTCTTGTTTGAGAAAATAACCTCTACATTTATGAATAGTAGTACCCTCCACCTCCTTTGTTAACTTTATTTTTTCATCACCCTAGCTTAGGAACGTTAAGAAGCCTCACATTTTCTCTACCATGTGGTCAGATTACAAAGTAGTCATTCACATATCACAGGATCATTTCGACAGTACTAATGAAACCGTTAATTCTTGCCATAACGTTTTCTTGCAGGCATTAGCCAAATGGAGGTAAAGTCGTGATTCGATAGTTTTCGTATGCTTTTTTATTCTTTTCCAGATTTTGTTTTTTTATGGTTGCTTGTATCCTTTATGTAATAATTCCTCTAGAAGGATATCTAAGTTCAGATAGATTAGCACCTTGTTTATATCTATGTATTTTTCCGTCCTAGTCTCTGCCATTTTTGCCTATCTTTCTTTTACCTTCAAATTTCCATAGCTGGTTGTTCTCGGACCCTCAAGACTCCGAGTGATCCTGATCAGGACTTAGGGGAAAGAAAGTCGAGCCAGACTATATGTAAGGACGACCAACCTCCGAGGGATGGATCCTCAAGTTGTCTAGCTTTGAGGCGAACAGATTTAAGGGAAAAGTCGAATAGTATGGATACGGATACCAGAGAACAAGAGCTGAGTGAGAAAGAAAAAGAGAACGAAGATGTTAAAAAGAGTATTTCTGAACAAGAGGATCTAGCCAGACTTGGTGCTATTGACCTGTTGACAGACGATGTATTAGCCGCATCTCTTATTCAAGCGACCACTAGGCCTTCCTCGACCAGCCATGATATGATGTTATCCAAAAGACTTGCTTCTTCAGTCTCTTCAGAAAGATTATCTCCTGATATTATTGCTGCCCAAGCCACTTCGGCCAGCGTACCTACTATGTCCTTGTCGGAAGGTACCAGTGCAAACGTCATTAGCACCATCGCCACTCTTTCTACTGACGCCATTTCAGACCACTCCTGTCCTGCTCCAGTGCCCTCAACTTCTCTTCCACTGCCAGCCTCGAATAGTGTGGTCACAGTTGCTTCCAGTGGCAGCCTGATTATATTGAGCCCTGCAGAAAAAGCCCAAGTGGATGCATTACGAATTGCCAGTTTGGTAGCTGCCTCACTAGTTGATGAAAAGCTACCAAGTGTCGAGATCGTCGTAGGGGAAGGAGCTGAAGACGGAAATGTCAAAGCCGGTCAACTGTACAGCTTAGATGACCGACTAGAGATGATCGAGCTGGAGAACGGAAAGGGGTGGATACGTGAGTACTTTTGCCAATACAAAGGCGATTTTGTATGTCCCTGCAATTTAGTGTAATTTCGCTATTTTAGTAGGGTTAATTAAATACGTAGATGCATGGGTAGTTCAGTAGTACTAATTAGCACTTATTTCGTCCATCATAGTCAAGCGTACGTAGATTATTTTAACAGACTACACCCTTGTGTCTACTTCAGTCCCTGAAATACATACATATATATATGTTTATGTATTTATATATATAAATTAAGGTAGTAAAGGTTATGGAACTCCCTCTTTGAGCTCAGTCATAGAACTTGCATTCAACCAACATATTACGGATAATAACTCATTACTACTATTCATATCAATTAAATTTTTCAGTCTGGGCGCAGTTTAGCTACTTATATCAGTAAACATATTCACCTCTGTTAACTCTAGTATATATTCCTTTAGAAAATCCCTGGAGATAAAACTTTTGCAAAATTGGATTTCAATATATTTTTGGGTAACACAGCTCGAAAGCCAAGCACATACAATTATTACCATTCATTAGTTTGAGACAGTTAATTTTTAAATTATTTATTATTAAAAAGCATCAGTTGCTCCTCCTACCTTTATTCATTTCCATCAACCTTTTCTCCTTTATAATATTCATTCCACAATGACTTGTTGAACTTTACAAGCAGATATTATGCTACTATCGTTTCATTCTACTGCTCTTTTCCGTTTATTGCTTAACAATAACCCGGAATGATTGCTAATTTATATTACCATTGCTGCCGTATAAATCCCAAATTATCTGATATACAGAGAGTTGAATGGCTAATTGGTTTTCTTGATGATAAAGGTGAGTACTAAAGGGCTGCTTAGGGCATGCTACCAATAAGTCCCGTGCTGAACCGAAATTCAGCTTAGTGTTTAACATAATTTCCAATCACTTATGATAGCAAACAATTGAACAAGGCGTATGCATAAAATAAAGCCAGTGGTCTTATAAGCACTTTTTCATAAGCTCGCCTAGTGGATATAGAATTAACCAAAGCCTATTATAAACTTTGTTAGTGAAAATGGTTGTAAAGAGATCTATATATTTTTTTATCAAGTACAGCCTTTGAGATCTAAGCGGCTGGCTAGTATTGTCCTCATATAAATATTCCTTAGTCATTTATTCACCCGATACCCTTTAAATTTGTATTAATCGAACTATCGAATTTTACATCAAGGCTGCTGCTTCATATTCAGAATGGCCAAATCTCATTTTTTAAAAAGTCATTTCAACTAAGACAGCCTCTCAGCAATTTACCGCCTTTTTAATCTGCACGTATTGCAGTTATATTAGGAATTTCGTTATGTATATATATATATATATATATATATATAGACGATTGATGCCAAAATGCATAACTTAACCAGCTACCTAGATGCGTACTTACCCATGATGTTTACTCTTGGCCTCATGGCGCACTGCTTTTTAGTATAAATTTACTATGACTGTGATTTATGACTTGTATCTACAGGTGCGACTAGTTCCTTCATTGTGCTAGTTTTGTGAAGCTAATCAATAAGCATTAGGTCAAGGTGAAACTCGCTCTTTTACCTGAGAACTGGATGCACATGTTCCTCACGTCATTTATTCCTACTTCACGAGTTTATTAAAGCCTAATTTCTTATATTTCAGATAGAAATAAAGATATGAAGAGAAACTGGATCTCAATGAATCTCCTAATAAATATAGCCTTACTCAATACATTATTTTTACATTATAATCGTTCTTCCCAATTTTTTTCGTTGTACAAGTTCTTAAGCAATAAGATTTGGATCAAAAGTGAGTTTGATTTTCTCTAATGATTCTCACTTCTTCCAAGTCATTCCTTTTAATTTTTGTAAGCTAAATATTTAATCAGATCGCAAACCTTTTGATCTATACTTTTCGATCTATGGATGCTTGTATATTTAGTAAACATCTGAATCGCCTCCAAATTACTCCCTCGGGAAATCTTAAATAGTTTTGCTAAAGCTATCTTCTGACATCAAGCTTAAGGTGCTTGTTGGTTCATATTGCTGAGCTTTCCGAAATGAGATTAGGAAACCATATATTGCACTTCAAAAGTGGTATTATAGTAAATATATAAGTACTTGCGTACATAATATCTTTTAAATAGGTCTTAAAATCGCGCTCAGGTCCTATTGTCACCTGTCTCGCATTGCCCTTTTTGGTTGAGTGGATGATTATATAAGCGAGTAAAGTAATATATAAGCATATAGAATTATACGAAGGTATGAAGACCAAGATGGTGCGGCCTTTTGTGTGGTCGAAGTCTCCTTTCGTTGTATCGAGGTTGTTTGACCTTGTTTTCGCAATTTGTTCATATTGGTAGGAAGACGCACCTAGTCCGGAGTCCATTGTCTGCATGATCATTTCAAAAGTCTAACCGTGGACGTAGTACATTCCCAAACGTTTCCCCGGTGTCATGTCGCTCAAAGGAGCACACCACACTATATCTAAATAAACACGGTAAAAATTGTAATAGTGAAGGTATGATATGATGATACAGGAAACGCGAATAACCCAAGACAGAAGGGGATATACCATAATTGTTTAGCACACGTTTGGTCAAAGGATCGGCTTCACTTGTCTCTTTGACGAGTTTTATGGTGCTAAGAATGGCGAGACTCACTGACGATGCCGACTATGAGGCCGGCGAAACGCTTGAGAATGTACCACGTCCACAGTCCGACTTTGGAGATGATCATACATACGATGGACTCCGGACTAGGTGCTTTCCTCTAAGTCTTCCTACAAATATAGAATTATTGTTTTTACTTTTTTATTGTGCCTCTCCTTGT